ATGTCTAACTTATAATTAACTTTTACTAATGTGTATTTAGAAATTTTAGATTTCTCATTCAGCAATGCCAGTCTGATTCAAGATTTATTTGTAACATCTGGTTGTTCTTCTTCATCTAGATGACTGTAAATCAACCCCCCCACCCATGCTGGAACCCACAGGCCTGGCTTTGTCCCCTCCCCCAACAGACACCCACCAAGAACCGCCAACCCTCCGACCCATGACATCCGACCCCAGGACGTCCCCATGCCCACCTAAGCGCCTCAAACTTGACAGCGAGAGCCAAGAGGCCGATTCAGACGCCGCACCTGTGAACAGCTGCACCAAACCTGAGGACCGCCCACCCGAGAACAAACTGATCAACGGCCTCTCCTCCACAGAGTCACCGACCCGGCCTGCCACAGGAGGGGTCGGCCGGCGGACGTCCGTCCTTTTCAAAAAAGCAAAAAATGGAGCAAAGCTCCAGCGTGAGAGAGACAATCAGATGCAGAACGGAAGCAGGGAGGAGGCCGTCAGCGCTGACCCAGACCCTGCACGCACACCCAGCTGCACCGCCACCGTCAAGACTGAAACTTCAGCCCAGCCAAAACCTTCAACACCTCCGCCCATATCAACCCCGGCCAAACAGAGAGCAAGAAGCCGCAGCTGTAGTCCAGAGCGCGAGAGAACGCCCCCTCGACTCACTCTAGAGCCTGGTAAAGGAAACCACTGCTTTACATGATGCAATTTTAAATGATTTTGTGATAGGTTTACATGAAGGGCACCATGATTTTGGGGTAAAATGTTATTGCAGATTTTCCTGATTAAAAATTGCATTTGAAAATGAAAATGCATTTGTTAAAAATTGTTTTGGTGAAAGCTCCAGGTTTGCACAATGTCATTATGTAAAATAATAATATTTTTTTATTATTGCTTCAAAATATTAAACAAAATAAGAAATATTGTTATCATACAAGTGTATTCTACAGGTATTTAGGAAAAATAATAAACGTTTTACGGTCAAGCTGTAAAATGACAATACTAATATTTATGTTATAATGTCTTCATTTTCTAATGTTTAACCATCAAGCTTTTAATTGTAACCTTGTCTTATTTACTTGTAAAATAACTGCTGTCACCCCTGTGGGTTTTTATATGCCTTAAACAATATGTAAATGTGCTTATGGTTGTGACATCATAACCAGTACAAACTCGCTTTTGCATCACAGTTTCCATAAATGGGTGGAGACCTTGGAGGGATAATTACATTTCATTTTATTTATTTACATTTTACAAAGCATGAGCAATCTTGTTTTTCATGACAAACTGAAATTGCGGTATGGATAATACTTTATACTAATGAAACATTTCTCAAACACCCTTTTCTCTATTTAAATTTTTTTTTTAGCTCTCACCAACGGATTCAAAAAGCACAAAGATGGCAGCTCTGACTCAGAATGCAGCTCATCTCCGACTCTCAGAGAACTGTAAGAGAAAAAAAAGAAAACCTGAAACCTCTCTGCATCATATAGCTCACATGTGCAGTTAACTGATCACTTCTGTTGCTTTCAGTGTCACACCCCCTAAAAAGAGCCGAGGGAAACCTGCTTTGTCCAAAGTCCCTTTTTTAGAAACTGTTAACGGAGACTCTGACTACACTGGGACTGGTAAGAAATGAATCCCTATGAAATGTCAATATATTTGTTAATTTTTTTTGTGCCCAAGTGGATACTACAATCCTTGTTCTATGCAGATGTTCTGTCAAACGGTGATGCGCCTGAACCTGAAGCTCTGGATTTGGTGTGGGCCAAAAGCAGAGGATATCCGTCCTACCCTGCTCTGGTGAGAGAGGGCACTCTACATTCATATTACGTGAATACAACGCGTTGGTTCAATTATTTTGGGTAACGCATACCAGTCAACATCTTTAAAAAATTTGGAAAAGTCTTTTTTTTTTAGGCTTGAGAATTTTACCAGCCTTTTACAATAATGGGACAGGCCTGACATCAAGAGTGACCTTGTTTCCATCATTAATGCACATTCCTGGTCTGATTATGAATTATTCCAGGGATTATCAAGCTTTTTTTGTCAGTCAAACCCCTTTGACCTAAAACACCTCTGAGAAGTTAATATTTCAGAATTGGCAGTCATTTAACAGCTAGTTAATGGTCACATGACACTTTTTTTTCACAAGTGTGTTATTTTGATTGCTATTATTTATTATATTTCAATTTGTTTTATTAAAATAAATGATTGTACGTATATAATTTTTATGATCTAATTATTAGTTTCATCAACTTCACTAGTAAACAAAGTATTAAAAAAAATTTTCATTGCTTTTATTATGTTATATATTTTATTTTGTTTTTTGTATTGTTATTAAAATGTTATTTTCATAAAATAAATAAATTTTACATTTTTATTACTTAATTATTACCACCTTTGACTCAAAAATCCCAGTTTGGAAAAACCCTGCATTAGTCCGTTATTTCAAAATTTTATCAAAATTTGCTTCATTTCTATTACATTTTCTTTTTGCATAACATTGCTAATCCCTCATCCAACTTCTCATGGGACCTATATATTTTTTTCTCACCAAATAGCCTGTTTTTTTGGGTTGTGAACTGTGTTAAAGCAAACCACTGACGTTCAAATATTAAAGGAATGGTTTGAATTGCTCTTATTTTGTAGATCATAGATCCAGACATGCCTCAGGAGGGTCTTCTGCATAATGGAGTTCCCATCCCTGTGCCTCCGCTTGACGTGCTGCACCTTGGTGAGCAGAGACAAGAAGAAGCCGGCGAGAAACTCTTCCTGGTTCTCTTCTTCGACAACAAACGCACCTGGTGAGCACAGCACTGGGGATTTACTTTGTTTTCCTTCAGCTTTATCCTCCAGACTTTGCATTTTCAAAATAATCATTGTAAGTATCTGCTGGCTTTACGTGTTTCAGAAGGAACTGACAGTGAGTTTTTCTGTTCTTACGTCTGTCTCTGCAGGCAGTGGCTGCCACGAGATAAAGTGATCCCTCTTGGCGTTGACGACACGGCCGATAAACTGCGTATGATGGAGGGCAAGAAGACCAGTATCCGGAAGTCCGTGCAGGTGGCCTACGACCGAGCGATGATCCACTTGAGCCGAGTTCGAGGAGATCATGGTTTTGTCGGCTCCAACTACATGTAGAACAGAAATGCCAACCGCATCTGTCCTAACGTACCACTCACATGGGCTTTCTAAGGGGGTCTGAGAGCCATTTGGTTAGTGCACCAGGTACTAGACTCATTCAGTTCAGTTTAGTTTATCCATGTGTTCATGACGCAACCCTCTCAGTCATTTCAGATTCAGGACTGGAAAGTACAGTGGCTTCTACCAATAATTCGTTTTTATGAGGTGTCACTTTATGGTGATGGCGAGTCTAAACCGCATAGACTCAGAGTTTTAGCGTTTGAGTACATTCAGAGCAATTCATTTCTGAAAAATTAATTTTAAATGAATGAACTTAAAGAATATAAACGTTTGAATGGATCACTGCCATTTTCTTAAGATAGCTTTTTACTTTTTAAAGTTTTACAAACCACTTGTATATTGTAAAGACACTTGTGTATATAAGTATGTTGTTTTTTTTATCATATAGTATCTAATTTAAATTTTTTTCTTCTCTTTGTTTATTGTGAAATAAATTGCCTGGAGGACTGAAGAAATGAAGGGTTGTGTATATATACGTGTAAAAAGATTTTCAGATGAACTTCCTACATAGTTTATCCTGCTTGTCTTTGATAGCGGATAATGTGAGTGTGTTCATATATATATACATTAACGGCATACGATCGTGTATGTATGTGTATATGTACCGACTCACGGTTGTCTATGGTTAAATATATATTCTCATTTTTGATACAAAAAAGTAATTTATTTATGGACCGGAAAGAGATGCAGGAATTAAATTATATTGGTTCAAGATGGAAAGCAGATCTCTTATTTAAGATGATAAACTATTGCATAGGCTTTTAAGATCTAACTTCACATCATGTTCTTTCAGATCCTGGTTTAGTTCTTTTTAAGATTTCAAGGTGAAATGTTTGAGGGATTGTGATGACATGTTGTACACTTGCTGTTATTCCCTTTTCACCATCAAGCACAGAACCTTGTATTTATTGTAGAAAGTTGTGGAGCTTTTGTTCACTGTTTGTAAGATGGAACCTCTTGAAGAAACCTCTCAAGAAATTTTAAGCTTGTACAAACTGCAGATTTGACCTACCCACCAAATAACCTGTCTCAAACAGTATTTTCTCATGCGGGGAAATAAATGTTCTATTGAAACTCTACTATGGCTGTGTTAATATATTGATGGCTTAAGACCATACGCTGTTTTTCTTGATTTTGGACCTGTATTGCATTTATTTATATATTTTTTTTCTGTAATTAACATTGTAAAGCTGTGTTGGAATGTTAGATTTCCTAATACATGTAGGCTATTTTTCTGCTTGCAATATTACAGTACTGACTAAACAAGACGTGTGTGCTAGAAATGACTGAAAATGCACTTTGAGGCTAATGCCTGAAAGTAAAGGTGGCACTGATGCTATTTTTTTTTCTTGTTGTTTGGGTAATTAATTATATATATATATATATAATTGAAATTGTTTGAATAACATAAATGCATAATGATTTACTTTACATTTTTGAGTATTTGTCAACACAAAAAAGCAACTTATAAAGCAGATGTGTGCTTATGTAAATATTATTTTTCATGATTAAAAAAGTTAATTGGTTGCAGCACAATCCTAAAATGGTGGGATATTTTACATTGGAAAATACTATGTGCTCAAGGAGATGTATCTTTATTTATTTATTGGAACGCATCATAAAAGGTGTCTACCTATCACTAAATATCAATATCACTATTGTTTATTCCGATAAATCGAGAAAAGAGTCACTAAAGAGCGCCCGCGCGTGTTTTGCCGATTAGAAAAGTAACCAATCAGAAACACACTCAATCTGTCAATCATCTTGAACGCGCGGATTTGTTGAGCTCGGGTTGGCTGACGAATTTTAGGAGGGCGGGGCCGGAGTTTTTCCATAGGCTGGGTTTCATGGTTTTCAACAGCGTCTGGCGAAAATTAAAAAGGTGAGAATCGTTTGTATACTATTTATGCTTACATTTCACAACAGTATTGGGACACATATTTTTTTTTAAAGATGGTGGGATGTGGTAAATGTGTAATTGCTTGAAAAATATTTAAGCTGCTCAAACGTGTGTATTTCAGGGTGTCACATGTGGTATGTAGATGCGTCATTAAATAACATTAGAAACGTTTAACATTGGTGAGGTAATCAAGAATATATCGTCTTGTAAAATTCTTGTTGGTGTACTGCTGCTCATGTTTTGCTGAAATATATATTTTTTCCCTTTCTTTGTAGTGTACCCTTGAGTTCTGGTAGGGGGCAGCAGTGAGTCAGTATTGATGATGGAAGAACACGTGCAGTATGATTTCTTTTCCAAGGTGATGTCAGCCTACTCTATCCAGATGTGTTTTACTGTAACAGCTCTTGTCACAGATCATATTAAAATAATATTTATAGCGGAAATACACACACACACACATGCATATGAGCTAATCTCTCAGGTCTCTGTTGGCAATTTGAAAAGATCACGAGTGAGTTAATTATCAAACATTATAATAATTTTATTTTCTCGATTGTTCCGAGGTTCTTGATGTTCCGTTAAATGGATGAAAGATGATTAAATCTAAGCAAAAGAGAAACCGTTACTCTGTAGCTTTCATAGCCCACTAATGTTTGTTTCAGTTTTGAATTTGAACAGTTAAACATTCATATGCTGATATGTCCACTGTATCACAGTTTCATTTGTGGTCACAGGGAAATTAAAGCAGTTGCAGGTCTTACTCTAGCTTGCATATGATAGATTACCAACACCTGTTTAATTAGCAGATAACACTTAGGAGTAAAACATTAGAAAAACATTGCGGTTATAAATGAACAGTTCCTATTTATAGGAAAATGAAGTCAGGCACCTATTTTTAAGGGGTACCAGTGACAATCCTATCACTTCGTTATATGATTGAGGCAATAGGTTTAATCAAATACTACTTTGAATCATAACCCAAAGCATGTCACCTGAGTGTGTACTATCTAATTAAATAAAGTATATAATAAACATATCATTAAGGCTAAAACTATTAAGTGGTCTTGTTGATAAATTAATATTTGGGACACTTGCAACCACACTCTGCATTGGTTTTGCACAAATCGTTTAAATGACATTTTGGATTCAAAACGACAAATTTTGCCAAAATGTTATGAATTTGCAGCACTATTTAGAAAAATGCGTTATTTAAAAAAAAATCTGAATGGACTTGAAAGACAATGATTACATATTTATTATTAACGTGGATCTAAAAATTGATAAATAGAACTATGAATGCAAAATCGTATATGTGACCCTGGACCACAAAACCAGTCTTAAGTAGCACGGGTATATTTGTAGCAATATCCAACAATACATCGTATGGGTCAAAATTATCGATTTTTCTTTTATGCCAAAAATCGTTAGGATATTAAGTAAAGATCATGTTCAATGAAGATATATTGTAAATTTCCTACCGTATATATATCAAAACTTCAGTTTTGATTAGTAATATGCATTGCTAAGAACTTTATTTGCATATTAAAATAATATTTATAGCGGAAATACACACACACACACATGCATATGAGCTAATCTCTCAGGTCTCTGTTGGCAATTTGAAAAGATCACGAGTGAGTTAATTATCAAACATTATAATAATTTTATTTTCTCGATTGTTCCGAGGTTCTTGATGTTCCGTTAAATGGATGAAAGATGATTAAATCTAAGCAAAAGAGAAACCGTTACTCTGTAGCTTTCATAGCCCACTAATGTTTGTTTCAGTTTTGAATTTGAACAGTTAAACATTCATATGCTGATATGTCCACTGTATCACAGTTTCATTTGTGGTCACAGGGAAATTAAAGCAGTTGCAGGTCTTACTCTAGCTTGCATATGATAGATTACCAACACCTGTTTAATTAGCAGATAACACTTAGGAGTAAAACATTAGAAAAACATTGCGGTTATAAATGAACAGTTCCTATTTATAGGAAAATGAAGTCGGGCACCTATTTTTAAGGGGTACCAGTGACAATCCTATCACTTCGTTATATGATTGTGAGGCAATAGGTTTAATCAAATACTACTTTGAATCATAACCCAAAGCATGTCACCTGAGTGTGTACTATCTAATTAAATAAAGTATATAATAAACATATCATTAAGGCTAAAACTATTAAGTGGTCTTGTTGATAAATTAATATTTGGGACACTTGCAACCACACTCTGCATTGGTTTTGCACAAATCGTTTAAATGACATTTTGGATTCAAAACGACAAATTTTGCCAAAATGTTATGAATTTGCAGCACTATTTAGAAAAATGCGTTATTTAAAAAAAAATCTGAATGGACTTGAAAGACAATGATTACATATTTATTATTAACGTGGATCTAAAAATTGATAAATAGAACTATGAATGCAAAATCGTATATGTGACCCTGGACCACAAAACCAGTCTTAAGTAGCACGGGTATATTTGTAGCAATATCCAACAATACATCGTATGGGTCAAAATTATCGATTTTTCTTTTATGCCAAAAATCGTTAGGATATTAAGTAAAGATCATGTTCAATGAAGATATATTGTAAATTTCCTACCGTATATATATCAAAACTTCAGTTTTGATTAGTAATATGCATTGCTAAGTACTTTATTTGGACAACTTTAAAGGCAATTTTCTCAGTATTTTGATTTTTTTGCACCCTCAGATTCCAGGTATTCAAATAGCTTTCTCTCTGCCAAATATTGTCCTATCCTAACAAACTATACATCAACGGAAAGCTTATTCGTATGTAAAGTTTTCTGATGATGTATACATCTCAGTTTCGAAAAATTGACAAGACTGGTTTTGTGGTCCAGGGTCACATGTATTACAACATAAATGAAAAGCAAGAAATCCTAAAACACAAATTAAACTTTAACATTTTTATTTAATGCATATAAGAAACTGTCACACATGAGGCTTACATTTGTTTTATTTTTTTTATTAAACTAAACTATGTTTGCACACGGGTAACCAAAAGTACACTGACCTGGGATATTGTTCTGGGCAAAAATGAAAAGTGTATTGCAACAGATTTCAGATGTCATAAATCTCTCTCCCTAAAGGCTGCCTCAAGGCTGCATGTCCCAGGGCTGCTGTGGGAGAAGGGTGAGGTGGTTGTGTCGTAGTGTTCTCAGCTCTGTCAGCCGTCCCAGGAGCCTGGCGAAGCGTCGTGGGTCCTGTGCCGTCCCCTGACTGCAGCAGCAGCAAGCTCGGGACAGGAGCTCCAAAACAAACTCCTGTAAGTTCTCAACGCAGCCCACCGCACGCAGAGATGGCCTGTCTGCTTCACAACAGGAAAAAAAGGGAGGTCATTTGAAACAGTTCTAAATAAATTTTAAAAAAGAAATTGTATTTTGAAGTGCTTAAGCTAAACCTTTATGATGGCATTTGCTGTCTGACCTATAAATGAATGTTCTGAATATGGTGACATCACATGGAGATTCACATAGACATGAGTCACAATTGTGTTAATCATAAACCACAGACCTGAACATAACACTGCAGTCGCTGTTAGAAGTGCATATTCAGCCTCAGTTACCGCAATAGTCACCATGCTGTGGAGGAAATTTACCACAGACCTCAAGAACTCATCATTCAAACCTTAAAGGAAAAAAAAAAAAATCACAATATTAGCAGAGACAAAAACTTTAGACAATTGGACTTGGACTCTAAAGACTCTAATGATACATCAGTTGGATTAATCACTGCATGTAGTGTGAGATTTTCCTGCTATGATTATCACTGTGCATATAGATCACCTGAGTATGTCAGTATCCTGTGGCTGTTCCCAGTCTTGGACTCTAAAGTTTTCACCCAATCAGGGTTTGAGTTATTCGAATTTGCTGGGTATAAAGCTGGTGATAGAAAACATAGCAGTGAGTCATATGTGTTGAGTTTTCCATTTCAAGTGAAAATTTTAAAAATGCTTTATTAGCACAATTTATTTTTAGCACACATGATTAAGCTAAGCTTTAAAAACTCACATTGTCCCAGACACCAATATTTTAACTAGTGCTGTCAAACGATAAATCACGATTAATCGCATCCAAAATAAAAGTTTGTTTACATAATATATGTACAGGTGCATCTCAATAAATTTGAATGTCGTGGAAAAGTTCATTTATTTCAGTAATTCAACTTAAATTGTGAAACTCGTGTATTAAATAAATTCAGTGCACACAGACTGAAGTAGTTTAAGTCTTTGGTTCTTTTAATTGTGATGATTTTGGCTCACATTTAACAAAAACCAATCAATTCACTATCTCAACAAATTAGAATATGGTGACATGCCAATCAGCTAATCAAAACACCTGCAAAGGTTTCCTGAGCCTTCAAAATGGTATCATATTTATTATGTATATATATATAAATACACTCACATGCATGTATACATTTCAGAAAAAAATTATTTTTATATATTAAATATATTTTTAAAAATATAAATTATATGAATATAAATATAGACATGTTAATACAAGTAAATATTTTCAAAATATATACTGTATGTGCGTGTATTTATATATACATAAATATACACAGAACACACATATATTATGCCAACAAAAACTTATTTTGTATGCGATTAATCGTTTGACAGCACTAATTTTAACTATTCATAAAAGATTAATCACTGTCTGGCCGACTGAAATTTCAATATGGATATAAAGATTAGGATTTTTCGGTAGTAGTACAGCACATTGTGAGTCTATGTTAGCACTGTTGCTTTTGAAAAAAGACACTTGATGTCAGACTTAACAAGCAGATTATGTGATAATGAATGTTATTACCATTGCTAACACTAGTGGGGTTCTCTGAGAACTGCTGAGCCAGGAGTAGGAACATGACTTCAACTGAAGAGCTGGACAGAAGAGTGTTCTGGTCAGAACCATCCAAAAGCTCAAACCCTAAACAACAGATGACCACAAATTAGACGTGTTTGGAGGTGTGTGGTGTGATCTGAGAGAAGCCGGATGAAACTGACCAGGTACGCTCCTCAAAAATTGCAAAAGCTTCTCCGTCTGTGGATGAGTCAGATCTATATTGCTCGTCAAACTTGACCACAGATGCACCTGGGGAAAGAAAAAGAATGATATCTTATGATATATTACGAGCAGTATGTGTTTTAATTTTTAATGAAGAAAAAAAAAAAACATACCCGACAGTGCGTGTTGTCTTGAATTATGTACCTACGATAAGCCTCAACAATTCTATTCAGAATGCATCTCTGCTCTCTGGAGAAACCAGATACCTGCAAACAGTATTTTGAAGACAAGAAGACACTTGTTCTGAATTTTTAAAATATAACAGGCTTCAGATCTTACTAAAACTCAAATTTCATGCTTGGACAGGCTAAATAAAATAGGAGAGTTTTACCCCAGCGGTGAATCTGCTGGTGGACGAGACGCTTCTGCTTTCAGAGTAGTCGTCTTCAGCTCTTCCCATTGACCCATTGTGTCCTCTGTGCTTGGAGCCCTTCCTCAGTCTCTTCGACTGGCATTGCACCTCTGTAAGCAGACCTGACAAAAAGACACCAGCAATCAGCTAATGCTGACAGTGTTTGACGCTAACTTAACATCCAATTAGGTTTCCCCAGAAATGACAGAAAACTCGTGAAGAGTTTTTACGTCAATCTCACACTCTGCCAGCATCCCGACGGCTCTGCATTTGCGCAGTCTGCAGTCCTGACACTTTCTCCGCATGTACATGTCCATCTCGCAGCTTCCACCACTCTTGCAGCGGTACACTGCCTTTTTAGTCACACTGCGTCTGAAGAAACCTAAGCCGAGAGAGATACACTACGGTTTAAAAACTTTTTTGATGGTTTTAAAAGAAGTCTTTTCTCCTTAACAAGGCTGCATTTATTTGATCAACAATTCTGTTAAATCAGTAATGATGTGAAATAATACAATTTAAAATAATTGTTATATTTTAAAATGTAATTTATTCCTGATGGCAAAACTGAACTTTCAGCATCATTACTCCAGTCTTCTTTGACACATGATGTTTCAAAAATCATTCTAATATGCTTGATATGGTGCCAATTTGGTGCTGGTAAAAATAGTTATGGTGCTTAATTTTTTTCTTGATTTCTGTAAAAACAGATGTTTTTTTCAGGATTATTTGAGTAATAGAAAGTTCAAAAATGGCATTTATTTGAAATAGAAGTCTCTTGTAACATTATAAATGTATTCACTTTTGATCAATTTAATGCATCCTTGCTGAATAAAAGTATAATTTTTTTTCCAAAAATAAAAAAACCACTTACTGACCCCAAATGTTTGAATATTAGTGTATATTCTTAAAATTTGGTCTTTCTCATTGAGGGAAACAGACCAAAACTAGCAACTAGCAATAGCAAGTACCAAGTCATAGTTCACTGCTATTGGCTATTTTAAAAAAAAGAGACAAGCTCTTAGATATGTCCCACCCCACTTCCTGGTTCCAAAGGAAATATGGCAACACAGGAAAGAAAACTGTTTGTCAAGCTATTACATGCAGTCTTATAAGTAATGATTTTGGACATTAGTAAACACTGTAAATTCAAAAAGTGCATCGTGGATTATTGTTGCCTTAAAATTCAGTGCTATTGTGATCGTCCAACCTTTGCATCCCTCACAGGTGAGGGCATTGTAGTGATATCCCGAGGCTTTATCTCCACACACCAAACACAGCTCATCCTGGCCCTTCACCCGAGCTCCATAGCCCATCCTGGGTCTTTTTAGCACTGGAAGACCGACAATGCTACGTCTTGTTGGGCTTTGAACCTCCATGTCTGGCTCACAGGTGAACTCAGAGCATTGATGGCTGTAGGGGTACGGCGGGTTGCACGCTTGAGCGTTTGGCGCTCCATACATTGAAAACTGCACATTGACGTGGCTGAATGGCTGCTGGCCATAGAGAGGGCTTTGTAGATCTGGTTCCTGATAGGAGCAGCTCAGTGGATCCACAAGAACATCTGCAGCAAGGATTGAAGAACATCTTGATGAATGAAACGCTTCACAAGAAATATGTTCCTTTTTCACATGATTCTCAAATTACCTAACTACTTTTATGAGGCCTTTGGGACATAATAAAAAAAAATCCCAGAGCAAGACCTTTTGAATCTTTTCTGTCTCTGGAAACAGGATGCAGCTGAAGAGGTTACAGTTTTGTTTATGGTTGTTATTTGCTTTGTAGCTTATGGGGTTTTTATAACCGTACAGAACGGAGCCTTCCTGATGTTTTCTCTGTCGGCGGGAAGGTTGTGAAGATGGATTTTAGATTTGAGTTCCCCCATAGAGGGAGCATATGTCACAACCGGCAGCATTTCTGAAGCACATCTGCACAAGAAGTTTTTTTTTTTTCATGTCTTGACAGACACTTCAGAACTAGTAGTGACAACGAGCAAATGAATGGAATATTTCACATGAGAAAAACTTATATTTGAGTAAAACTCTTCTCATCCAACCAATTCCAGCAAATCCATCTATGTTTTTCTATGTCATCATAAATAGCCTTCTGCATTGTGGTGGTCTCTTTACTGGCCTTCAATCCTGTCTTTCTCACAGATGTTTTATGTCCCGTTACAGCTAGAGCATAACTTTCCGGTGCTAGTATCTGTTTGTAAACCACTGGAGTTTTTCATAAACATTCATGTTGACGAGAAGCTGCTAATATACTATCATTGACTGTCCTTCCAGACGCCACAGTGAGTTAAATGACAAAACGAAACTGAGACTTTGACAAAGCACTATTCGGACATTAATTGTTTCTCAAGGCGACATCTGGGAAATAATATTTGGACATTCAGATGTTCATGTAATGAATTCGGGTATACAAACCAGTAGACAAACCACTGTAAATAATACATGATCGGTCACATGACCATATTTCAACATGGCGTCAGTAATGACATCCAGTTAAATGTAATTTTATTCCAATTATCCAGTGTCCAGATCTCTTGGTAAGATTGATGTGCATATTTTACATGTATTTTTATTTATTTGTTTATTCTTTTTTTATTATTATTGCCATTATAGTGCCACAAAAAATATGATGCTATATTAAATATTATTATAATATACTATTATCGTATTTCTTAATATTTTTAATTAGCTTTTGTTTTTAGATTTTCCGTTTTTTGTTTTAGTTTATGTTTTAGTAATTTTGTTTACTAGTTTTTATTTTCTTACAATTTTTATTTAGTTTTAAGTTTGAGCAATTATTTAGTAATTACATCAATAAGTGAAAATTGTTTTTAATAGTTTTAGTTATTAGCAATAACAAGACTGATTCAATGAAAGTCAGTGGGGTCCAAAATGACGTTGGTTCCCATTGACTTCCATTGTATGACCAAAACACACATTTTTCAAAATATCTCCTTTTGTGTTGGAAAAAAAATCTAATAAAATAAAAAATTCTTCAGGGTCTGAACAAAATAAGCGCGAGTAAATGATGACAGAATTTTGAGGGAACTATCACTATTGTAATTCTATAATAAACAGATTTACATATAGTAAAGCGTAATCTTACCATAGTACTCTGGCGGCTCTGTGATATCATACGTGTCTGATGCAGAGAGGTAGCCACTGACTGACATGCTCATCTCAGGATCTGTCCCCTCTCTCATCTGATCAGTTGGATTCTCGCTCTTCACAGAGAATGTCTGAATCTATAAAAGAGCACAAAAACTTTCATTCACCCTGTTTGAGGATCATAATCCAGTGCCTTCAAACCTTTCTTCAGCAAGCTCTCCAACCCCAGAGAAAGACAAGTTATTTTAGGCATCACTGTCACGAAAAGGTTATGATAGAACTCAGCAAAGGCTGTGGAGATCTCCGTCTGTGCTCTTCTGGGGTTCTGAGAGGATCTGAAGAGCATTGACTGTGAGAATTAGACGAGAGATGAGGCCCGTGTGTCCAAACAGCTGCTCTGGCATGAGTTTCACAGAAAAGGCCTCACAAAGAGCAGTCTGTCCCAAATGCCCTCAACAGGTTTGGCCTGTAGCTGACTCCCAGCATTCAACAGCAGCTGTGTGAACGTACCTAAACTTGCACTCTTGTCCAGTAACTGGAAAGAGGACCTGCAATACACTTTAAAGCGAGCGGCTATTTTGGTTGTTTACTGAATGACATCTACAGGGAGCAATTTTGTGGCTCAGAAACTAGTGCAAAGCATCATCAAGTTGACATTGAGAAGAACTTTTATCCAAAGCAATTTAAAAATTGCCCTATTCCTAACTCCAGCTCTACTAGTTTTCTGTCAGGACATTACCTGTTTTCTTTAACTATTACATTACACAATGCAGTGTACTGTATCTGAACATGCTCATGCTGCAAACAAATGTCAGCACTGTTGTGAACAATGAGTTATTGCACACAAATCCCAGAGCACCGATATATTCCAGCAGTGGTGTAAAACAAAACTTTCGCTTTCACTTCCCCAGTTCCATGTGAATATAAACAATAAGCCCTCTAACATAAATGAAACTGAAAGTTCACGCATGCAGAAGGCTATATTGCATACCCCCTTTGCCAACTAGGGTGTTTGATTGGAATATTGTTCCAGGACTAATCAAATTTTTAGGGGGAGACTTGTCTTAACGTGTAACCCCTAAATATCCAATTAGTCCTGGAACAATAAAACATCAAGGATGTTGATTCAGGAATCAGGAACACATCCTACTTGGGAAAATCACGTAGAATATAATGAATTATTCAAGAATGACATGATCAAAAGAGGTATGCAATACTGGTTGCTGTGTAAACTGATAGCTGAACAAAATCAAGGCGAAACATTTTCAGTTTCATTTACATTAGAGGATTTCCGTGAATGGGAGAGAAGTGAAAGAGAAAGCTTTGCTTTAATAACTTGCATGCAATAACTCATTAGCACAACTATGCTGATATTTGCTTGCAACATGAGCATGTTGTGAAACAATACTAAGCATTTGTTAAAATGCAAAATGAGTATCTATAGTAATATTCAGCACTTTTTGCATTTACATGGTGTGATAAACTGCAAATATTATATTTTGTATATAGGCTACCATTTAAAGGTTTGGGGTCGGTAAGGTATTTTAAAATGTTTTTGGAAAAATCTGTTATGCTCACCCAGGCTGAATTTATTTGTTCAAAAGTACAGTGAAAACATTAATATTCTGAAATATTATTACAATTTAAAATAACCATTTTCTATTGGAAAAGCTATTTTTTTTCCTGTGATGGCACAGCTGAATTTTTAGAAATCATTATAATATGATAATGATAATATGATATAAATAGATTTGATCTTCAAGAAACATTTCTTCTTATTATTATTAATGTTGTAACCATAATAAATTTTTTTCAGGATTCTTTGATGAATAGAAAGTTCAATAGAAAGGATAGCATTTATTTGTCATATAAATATTTTGTAACAATGTTAAAGCCTTTGCTGTCACTTTTGATCAATTAAATGTGCCCTTGCTGAATAAGCAGTAGTTACTTTCTAAAAAAAAAAATTTAAATCATGCTGACTCCAAACCTTTGAACAGTATATTTATTTTTTTCCAGAAGCACTTTTTCACTATTAATGCTTTGAGCAATCATTCAAAGTTCAACATGACTTGCATGACTCACGAGTTCTCAGAAATCCTGTAGTGCTCAACATTACAGTTACCAGCATCTCATACTGAATTATTTTATAGCATGTATGCAAAATAAATAAATAAATACACATTATTGGTGGGGGGGGGCAATTCAATGTCTTTCAAATCTACACCTTAGATCCTCTGAACTAGAATTCCTCTATTACAGTTACCAGCATCTCATACTGAATTATTTTATAGCATGTATGCAAAATAAATAAATACACATTATTGGTGGGGGGGCAATTCAATGTCTTTCAAATCTACACCTTAGATCCTCTGAACTAGAATTCCTCCTGTTCTCATTCTCTTTAACTTTGTGTTCTGAGTGGCAATGTGGGTCACTCTCTATTTCCCTAGAGGAATGACAGAGTGACATCCAGCTCATCTCTGGAGCTTTAGGGAGTGTTTATACACGCTGTGTTTGCCACGGCTCTGTTTGTCATGCAGTTAATCTTTGACATTGAAAAGATTGAAGACTGCAAGAATCTAACCTTCCCACCCAATATACTTTAGACCCCATGTAGGGGCAGGCTTTCCTGAAAACTCCTCAAATTATGACACGGACGCTCACACGTACCCTCTCGTATCCTGCCCGCTGAGCTGACATAGAACATCCTCGATGGCGTTATTGTGTAGCATCTCAAAGAGACTGACCTCGGTTTCGCAGTGTCGAAATATAGAGATCATTAGTGCCTCTGAGACCCAAGGGAGGGAAACTTTTGCTATCACTCCCATGCCATCCATCACAATGACTGGGTTCTTTCCTCAAAAAAATCTGCACAATTAACAAAATGACCTTCTTTGAACTCGATGGATGGTTCATTCCAGATGGGGTTAAAGGGAGCAAAGCTCCAATGGGTTTGAACACTTTAATTTTTCACACAGTTTTCACAAGAACATAAATAGCAACTATATAAATAAACATGCCTTCAGCATATCATAACAGTTGTTCATTCTTAAAAATAAAGATTCCAAAAAGTAGTTCTCAGCAATGCCACAGAAGAACCATTTTTGGTTCCCCAAAGAGCCTTTTAGTAAACATTTCCGAAAATAACCATTTTTAGTGTGAAGAACATTTTTCCACTTTAAAGAACCTCTTGTGGATATAAAGGTTCCATGGATGTCAAAGGTTCTTCATTGAACCATAGATGCCAATTACGAACATTTCTTTTTAAGAGTGTTGGATGAAAGTTTTGTGCGAGAAGCCCTTAAAGGTGGGGTAAGTGATTTCTGGTAGCCAATGTTGACATTTGAAATCACCAAAACAAACACGCCCGTTGATTAATAATTTTCGTCAACTACATTTTTTTCACCGACGATAACGAACAAACTCTTTTTGAATGACAAAAACTATGACGTAAATCTATTGACATTTTAGACATTCTGAGGGTTGCAGATCCCACCCTGATGCTCTTAACTCACAGGATGCTATTGACAGCGACTGTTATAATGAGGAAAAACAACATAGATTTGTTTTTCCAGGAACAACAGGGCTGCTGATATGAACCACGGGGTAGACAATGTTCTTCCTGAAACAAAAAATGTTTCCAAGAAATTCAAATAGGCGCTGTTTTGGAACCTATACTGAACTGAATACATACAGTAGGCAGTATTATAAGGCAACAGTAGCACAAAAGCAACGCAAAAGTTATTCCGAAAGGTCGGCAGGACAACTACAAAGCCTTCTAAGAAAACGCTTATTTTGGCCAAATTCAACGGCAGCATTGCAAATATCTTTAAAAAGGAAATCCAATAATGCACTGCGAGTTCTTTGAAAATTTTTTTAAAAAACATCTAAGTTGGCAGACAAATTATACACATTTGTCTGCTGTATATTTCTATATAAAAGGAACACTATTGATATGACACAGAATTGCTCCCTATCTATGGAGATCAATGTTCTTTTATTGTTAAAGGGACAGTTCACCCAAAAGAAAATGCTGTCATTAATTACTCACCCTCATGTCGTTCCAAACCTGTAAGACCTTCGTTCATCTTCAGAACACAAATTAAGATATTTTTTATTAAATCCAAGAGCTTTCTGACCCTGCATAGACAGCAACGGTATTGCGATACTCTCATGAACGCATGGCAGAGACTGATACGAAGAGAAGAAATGTTAAATAAAGTCATTATTTGTGGGGGGGTTTCGCACAAAAAGTATTCTCATAGCTTCATAAAATTACGGTTGAACCACTGATGTCACATGAACCATTTTAACGATGAACTGACTTCCATTCTGGGCCTTGAATGTGTCAGTTGCGTTGCTGTCTATGCAGGGTCAGAAAGCTCTTTCATCAAAAATATCTTAATTTGTGTTCCGAAGATGAACGAAGAAGGTCTTACGGGTTTGGAACGACATGAGGGTGAGTAATTAATGACAGAATTTTCATTCTTGGGTGAACTATCCCTTTAGCTAAAACTATTAAAATATTTTTATTAACTGAAGGAAAAAATATAAATATTAGAAGTGTAAACTTTAAAAAAAAGATATGAACTGACAACTAACTGAAATAAGTTGAAGTACTAAAGTTACTATAAAATTACAGCTAAATAGAAATGTAAAAAAAATGACAAAAGCATATAAAATTACCAAAATACTTTTTTTTTCTGATGGAGATCCATTTCATTTAGGCAGCAAAGGCAACCTATTAGGTTATAAAACAGAACCTAATTTTATAACAAACGCCATTAAAAGCTGTGCTGAGAACAAAAGTAAAAATGACTTTAAACCTTTGGAAAGGGAATTGTTGCATTAACATACAATCAGAATTTACCCTACAATAGCAAATAATAGGATTAGAAATAAGCATTACCATTGAGATGACTTGACCTTCAGCCTCCAAGTTGAAAAACCTCCTCAAATGTGGATACTGGCAATATGGCAATCCAAAGCAAACTCAAATTCACCTCTCGCTGTTCCATTATTTAGTGGCTGCTTTTCAAGATCCTATCAATTCCTGATAGATAAATCGGTTTCATAATGAATTTTCTTTTCATTCACGACATTACAGAAGCAAAATGACTGGCAAGAGCAATCTAATGTTGATGATTTGTTTGGAAAAATAAATATGAAGGAGATTTAGACAAATTGATTGTCCACACCAAAAAAAAAGAAACAGTTCAAGCATGTTTGGCCTCAGAAAAACAAAAATCTTTAGTGAGTGTTGTGCTGTGATACAGAACAAAAAAGAGAAGAAAACAGGCAATGTCAAATAAGACTTAAAAAATAAGAACTTCAATAAAGGTACCTACTGACTGACAGGTGCAGCGCCAAATCAAATCAAAGGCCACAGTATTAAAAATTAAAAACATCTTTACAACATCAAAACATTTTTGACTATAGATTGCACAAAAACAGCCTATTAACATCGTTACAGTACACGGATTGAAGGCAGAACCTTTTCACAGTTCTGAGTCAAGACTGCTAGATCTGCCGAATGCAGCATTCATTCTACTCTACATAACAGAAAAATTACACGATTGCATGCATTGTATAAAAAAAAAAAAACTTAATTCTGAAGTACAGTACAAACATTACAAAAGTGTTTCAGTAAGTCCTTTTGGTGCCAAATATTGAACCAATTAAGAAAGTTAACTATTTACCATCAGACAAAAATATCTTTAACCACTGACACTGCTAGGTATAAAACCTATTGAAATAAAATCTAGATAAAAACTATTAGAAAAAAAAAATGGGATTGTTTGTGAGCTGTGGCTGTGGAAATGTGAAGCGCAAAAAACATCTCCAGCATTTCATCCAGTCACAGCAGGAATGGGAATTGTTCAGTTATGGAGAAGTGCAGCGGTCTCTTCATCTCCGTCTGCAGAATCCCGAGGAGATTTGCTGTACATCATGAACTGCACGGATATCTAAAGAAAAGCGTTAAGGCAAAAAGCCGAAATAATTGCAAACTATTCTGAATGAATTCAAACAAGACTCAGTGCTCATGGGATTCTGACAAATGAGCTTCACATGAAAGGAAGTCACATGACCTCAGTGATGTAAAACACACAGCTGGATGCTATGGCAACAATCAGAGTTTTGTCAATATATGCGACCTCAAGTGATCCAGAAGGTCAAACATACAATGACTCAAGCATTTATGCAATATTGTCTATAACATTAGTCATGTGACCTTTGACTGCATGTTTTCAAACCAAACCGTGTCAATTAATCAATGTAATTAATTGATTGCAATGTTCCTGTGGCTCAGTGGTAGAGCATTGCGTTAGCAGCGCAAAAGGTCATGGGTTCAATTCCCAGGGAACACACATACTGGTAAAAAAATGTATAGCCTGAATGCACTGTAAGACGCTTTGGATAAAAGCGTCTGCTAAATGCATAAATTTTATTTCATTTAAAATTTAATTTAATTTAATTCAGCACCAACACAGTTAAACCAGGTTTTGAGAAAACCTCACAGTCCAGTGTTTTATTTTAGCATCACTGATATTTTATTAATATTTGAATTTGTTTTTATTTTTTAATTTTCTGTTTTCATTTTAAAGCTGCAGTCCGTAACTTTTTTTTGGTTAAAAATTATCCGAAATCAATATTTGAGCAAGTACATAACCAGTCAGTGTTCGAAACTATCGCCTTACTTTAGCCCGATTCACAACGGTCAGCTTATAATAATGTTTTCTAATTTGAATGGTATGGGTAGGTTTTCGCGGGAAATTTGAGCATGGCACTGCGTCATTACGTCACGTCTGTAAACATAAAGATGTTGTCCCAGCTACTAGGCTATCGCATGTGAGGATCCTGCAGGTGGCCGATCTTTTATAGCCTTTTCTCACAGCAGCTGGAATAATTAAATGTATCATTTTGATGGCGGATTGTAATCCAGAAAGGATTATGTGTTTATGAAACACATGTGAATGAAATTAAATTATATTCCAGTTATAAATGTGCTTCTGATTACAGATAGCCTGGGATTACAAAGATTTGTATTTTAAAGAAAACCAGTTCGAAGGGAGCATAATTTGCTTTTTGGGTTAAAAGAATTTCTTAATATGGAATTCGAAGAGTATGACAATTAGATAAGACTGTGCAGAAATTGAAATCTACACACTAAAGCACACTATACTCATAGTCACCAATGCTGATGCTGTTTATTCTAATATATATACAGTATATATATATATATATATATTTATTTATTTTTTTTATTAAAATAATATTACAATAAAACCTGTTTTAGGTCCATTACGGTTTTTGCCATGGCATTATTTTCATGAAAATTTCATGAGCATGTTTTGTCCTCCAAATTCTCATCTTGATAATGCATCTAGAAATTTCATATCTTTAGTTCTGAGGACTGTGTTGGGAATCCGTGACCTCACTAACAGCTCAGTGGCTAACACGTGGCTTTAAAGGATACAATAATGTCAAGTGAGAGCGTTCCCAGGCTGCCGATGAGCCAGGGGAGGTGGTGTAGGATATAGCTGGCCTCTCCCTGCCCTGGATCTGGGTTCTTCAGTAGCACGCTGATGCCATATGTTGTGTTTCCCAGAATCACCAGAGCAAATAGGAAAAAAGACACGCCCTCTGTTGACTTCCTCCGAAACTGCAAGACAGCAAGAAATATTTCAACTACACCAAGAAGCAATACCTGTACATCTTAAGTGCTGCATGCATATGTAGCATGCAAATGTATGAATAATAACTGTAGTCAGTCACTGCATTGACACAACAGATGTCTGCAAAGTTTCCAAAGCAACATTAAACATTTACGTAGAAAATAATTCAAATAAATAAGAAATTATATTTTGTATGAACGAAATAAAGACTTTTAGAGACTTTAAAGGAGTAGTGAAAATGGTTGAAAATGTACTCACGCCATCCAAGATGTAGATGAGTTTGTTTCTTTATCACAAAAGATTTGGAGAAATTTAGCATTACGTCACTTGCTCACCAATGGATCCTCTGCAGTGAATGGGTGCCGTCAGAATGAGAGTCCAAACAGCTGATAAAAACATCACAATAATCCACACCACTCCAGTCCATCAGTTAATATCTTGTGAACCGAAGAGCCATGTGTTTGTACAAAAACAAATCCATCACCAAGACATTTTGAACCATTGTTTCTAGCTATAATGCGAGTCCTCAATCCATAATATTGATTCTCCAGTGAAAAAGTAGTCTCACCTGAATCAAGAGAGAAATATGCACAGATCAAGCACAGTTTACAAGAAAAACAGTCCAATACAGTTCTAAACAAACATTTTGGTGTGAGAAGACAACCGGAGATTAACTTTTTCACTGGAGGAAGAGTTATGGATTTTGGACTCATATTCTGGCCAGAAGAAACAGTTTAAGCTTAAAATATCTTGATAGATTTGTTTCTTACAATACATGCAGCTTTTCACTTAAGACATTAATTAAAGGACTGGAGTGGTGTGGATTATTGTGATGTTTTTATCAGCTGTTTGGACTCTCATTCTGACGGCACCCATTCACTGCAGGTGAGAAAGTGATGTAATGCTACATTTCTTAAAATCTATTCCAATAAATAAACACCGTCATGCCATCCAAGATGTAGAACAGATAGAGTACATTTCCAGCAAATTTTCACTACTGAGAGAACAATTCATTTAATATTTTTTGAATAGTGACATCATTTCTATGGCATTTAACCACAAATCTTCTATAAATCCTATAAATCTTCTATTAATCCATTTCCATTCATCTCAAAGTTGATTCTCATTACTGACATACAATAATTTTAATCAGCATAAATTAAAGATAGTACAATCAAGAGTGGATTTTGGCCCTGCAAGGCCCCTTTTGTGAGATCTAATGTCCAAACAATGAAAAATACTGTTGCAATTATTGGAAATAAAGTTTCTAAACACAACAATGAACACATTATGTGCACAATACAATGCAAAAGAGAAAACAATGTACCATAACTTGTGACAACTAAAATAAGAAGTTTTTATGACACTGAGGAGGCGATTAAAAAAAAAAAAAAAAGTAAAAAAGTTACTGTCAAGAAATTGTTATAATATAAATAATCTTAATATCTTCTTATGATTTTGGGATGACATATTACCTGAACATGTTCTGGAGAGATTTTGTGAAATTCATCAACACATACATGCAGTGAGACTTACATTAGTGTACATCTGTGGCAGTCTGGAGCATAAATACAGTACTGAAGATATAGAGCCAATGACAAAGCCTATAATCTCCTTTGTATCAAAGGGCTGAAAAACATAAAAACATTGAGTCTCTAATCAATGCTGAAATCACATAAAAGAATGAAGTGCATTTCAACTCAATGATAAAAGTCACTCTACTCACCTGCACCGAACCGCTGTCCCCCTCCACGGCCAGCAGCACCCGACCCTTGAACCCCACAGGCATCTGTTCCTCTAGGGCTGAGCGAGGGAGGCTAAGGAGGGAAGATGACATTCCCAGAAGACATAGCACGCTGACCGCATTCAGCAGTGCACTGTTACTGGCTGCAGAGGAGAAAGACAGTTCTATGAATTAGCGTTTCAGGCATCAGCACATTCTTATAACAGACTGTGAAAGCTGAAGGTCAGAGAGGAATACACAGTAATGTAGGGAGAGACGGGACACTGTGAGAGCCATTCTTGAACAGTGTTATCACTGTTACTATAACAAAACTTTTCAAGAATTAAAATAAAGATGAAAGTTTAAGTACTAAAATTATTAAAACTAAACCTGATATGAATATAATTTAAGGCTATATAGAAATATAAAACAAAACTAAAACCTAAACTTTAAAAAATAAAATAAAAATGAAATTCAAAATATAAATGTATACTATAATAGTGTATAAATAAATGATTTATATACTGTTAGACTAGAGTATTTATTCATATTTTGTATTTAATTTTAGTATTAATTAAAACAATATACTATAATGAATACTATAATAAAATAGAAACAATACTAAAATTAAAAGCTTTTTAAAATATTAGTAAATATCATAGTAATATATAATACTAACCACTGTATATATGTTTGTGTTTGTGTGTGTGTGTGTGTGTGTATCTACTGTGCACATTTAATGCAACATAGTTGGCCTCAAAAAAAAAAAAAAAAAGCAGGTATGCCAGGAAAATTATTCCTGGAGACAAAAATAGACGAATGCAAGATATGTCTTAAAGGGATCATATGATGTTGCTAAAAAGAACATTATTTTGTGTATTTGGTGTAATGAAATGTGTTTATGCGGTTTAAGGTTCAAAAAACACATTTTCCACATACTGTACATAAAAATTGAAATCGCATCATATGACCCCTTTAAGAGCAACCAATTACATAGAGCCTATCCTTATGACACATTTAAGTCACTAGTGAAGTATAATTTCCAACTCACCCCTCGATGACTTATTCTTTAGTTTATAGTAAAAGTACATTGACAGCATTAACAGGTCTGCCAGGACGTAGTACACTGCAGTGTATTTCTAAAGGAGAAACGAGAGTGATGAATATAAAATAATAATAATAAAATCAGGCCTCAGTTCAAACTACAGCAAAACTAGGATCATTTAATTTTAAAAAATTATCAATTAGGGTTCATTTTCATTCATTGAGCAGATATTTTATCTAAAGTGATAAATAAAGAATGTGACAATTGTTCCTTACCTGTAGTGGAAGTTGATCAGCCAAGAACGATCCAATAAGATTGCACGAGTCACCGGCCAGCCAAAATAACAGGAACCAAATCGATAGAGCGCTGTCCATATTTCCTGTCTTGCAGGAACTGTAGTATTGCCTACAGTAACAGTCAGTATGAGCTCATCATTTCTCATCATGTGCAAAATGTGTCACTCTACACATTTAAACTACAGTTCAAAAGTTTGGGTGCCAGTAATGTTTTTAAAAATGTTTTAAAATTAGTCTCTAATGCTCACCAAGGCTGCATTTATTTGATCTAAAATACAGCAAAAATAGAAATAATGCAAAATATTATTACATTTTAAAATGAGTGTTACATGTGTTTTTATATTTTTTATATATATTTATATTTTAATTTATTTCTGTGACGCAAAGCTGAATGTTCAGCAGTCATTACTCCAGTCTTCAGTGGCGCATGATCCTTCAGAAATCATTCTAATATACTATTAACTAATAACATTTCTTACAATTATCAATGTTGAAAACATTTGTACTGTTTAATATTTTTTTGTAAACCGAGATGCATTTTTCAGGATTCTTTATTGAATATAAAGTTCAAAAGAACAGCGTTTATTTAAAATAGATTTTTTTAAACATTATTCATGTTTTTACGGTCTCTTTTGATCATTTTAATGCATCATTGCTGAATAAAAGTAATACTATCGTTAAAAAATCTTACTGTTCCCAAATTCTTGGAATGTTTATAAGAAATGTTAAAAATTATTGCTGTGCCTGAATACATTTGATATCATGACAAAACTAAGCCATACACAGTGCTACAGCACAACAGTAGGCCTACTCACGGTAGTGAAGACACCATGAAGCAAACTATCGACAGCAGTCCGAGAACAACACTGGCAATGTCTCTGCCATCCTGGGCACATTCACCCAGTCCATACCAGATCCACTCGATCCCGTGCGGGCAGAGAGAGCTGAAGTTCCCATCACCGCCGAGCACAAGCCCTTCCGACATCACTGGAAAAACAGCAGCGAGGAACCATATGGAATGACATTGGCATATCGCGTTCTTATGCAAACAGCCCAGGTGGAATTCTTAGGAAAACAGATGTGTTATGGTTCCTGGTGATTAGTCCAAACAAAGTGCAGTGATGTTTAAAGACTTGCGGAGCCAAAATACATTACAAATACGTTAATACATGTATATACGATTAGCACATTACCTGTGATGTAGATCTTCAGCTGCTGAGGTAGAAAAGGAGCGGAATGTCGATCTTAGTCCGCAGTTACCTCGAGAGGAAAACAAACAAGTCGTCAAAATAACGAGGTCATCGTTTAGCGCTGTGGTTGGATAGTTGAGGCGCGACGTCATCATCGGTCAAGAAACCGGAAGCCTCGCTAGTGACTCATTTTGCGAATCGGTTCTTTCGAACAGTTCATTTAAGAGATCCGGTACCAAAAAAAAAAAGAACGTTTTCAGCTTTTTTTTTTTTTTTTTGGCGTCATGACGTAAATGCGTCATGTGGTCCTTGACATATTACATGCTCTAAAATCTTCACAAACTTTTAAGTTATATTAATACAAGATGTAATTGCATGTGTCCCAGACAGATCAGCATGAATCAGCTTATAAAACATAAAGGTAATTTAGAACCGAAATATAAAATGAATTTACATTAAACAATACAACAATTACTTATTAAAATAAGATACGTGTTCTATAAAACTGTCATGTAATTAAGTGGTAAACGTTCCGCAGAAAGTCGAGAAGCTCTCGAACGATTCAGTGCGAATCGTTCAGATCCATTTTTTGAACCGTTTCGACCGATCGCTAACATTTGACTCAAGTAGCTTGTGTCAGTTTCTGTAAATTCCGAATATGAATATTATATTTAATGTAGCGGGGTTTTTTTTTTCATATAACAAAACAAACTATAATAACGCTTAATTTAAGTAACGATAACAACAATAAATCTCTACAAATCATTTTCCCACCGTATTTGTTTTGGTCAACATATCACAGTTTAGGCACTACATGGTGATCAACATGTCTGGCATTTTCACAGATCGGTGTGAAGTTAGTGTTTTTTGTATGTTAACAGTACACCGTTGACTAACTTGTGTTGAGTACAGATCTTCGAACCGCTAACTTTAACAATGAGCTAAATGCATTACCCTACCCGCGTGTAATGAA